ACTATCATGTCATAAAAGTCGAGAAATAAACATAAACTGAATGTATTTGGTCTTTCGGACACTCTAGATTAAACCGACCATTAACACGCATTGAAATAGCTGACACTAATTTTTGGAGAATGAGAATTTCACTGCCACACTAGCGGCGGAACAGAGGAATGAAACAGGTGAATACGCAATAAGCTATCTGTTACTTTAATCAGAAATATGTTTTCAACGAATGAATAAATGCGAAAGAGACATCTTATCAGAAGCCTTAGTTCAACTTTCTTATCTAATCCTTAGCTGAGCGTTGATCGTTTGTTTTAAGTATGAAGCTGTATGGGGCCAGATGCACCAAAAATTCCTTTGAGACTTGGGATACTTTTTCCTCATTGTCCAAAGCTTTAATCCCTATTTCTGCAGTTCAAAGAAAGCAGTGACCTGCAATAATTCGAATTCAACGAAACAATGGCGGTCTGACGGTCTGGTCGGGTGGTTTTGAAGTCGTGCAATTTTCCATCGTCTCATTCACTTATGAACACCTTATTTGAATGGTATCCGATGAGGCTCAGGTGCTAAGGCCAGTCAGCTGAAAGGTCAGCCAGTTGTGTGGCCGATATCTGGGTTAATCGGAATTCATGAACGTTGCTTCCAGCTGTATCGAATGAAGCAAAGGGCTCACAGGCCCTCAAAACAATATGAGTGACAAGTTTTTCATGATGACGCTTACCAGTGCAAAGCAGCTGCAGCTGACTATTATGACTGTTTGCTAGAAATCGCTCTATATCAAAGACGCAAAATAACCTTAGTGTCAATGCAGCTGAAGTGTGAACGATTAATTCATGGCTGTTTACTCAAAACCAACTCCTTAATTTTGGTGGGAGTCACGGATACTTCAGTCATCGTTTTATCCTGCGCTGTTCGTTTAAAGACGGAGAAATACTATCAGAAGTATTATTGTGATTCATTGTTATGACATTAATTCTTAGACTTTGTGCATAATGTGTAAATTATCGAATTGATGATGCCTGTAAACTGGCGTCCCTCATGTAAAAAATGAGAATATATATTATTATTATTATTATTATAATAACCCTATGGTTGGTTCCATATTGGTGCCAGAATAAAGGATTTTCGAGTCACCAATTTGTGCTGTTTTTTTCGCATTGATTATTGCACATTGTTGCTGAAGGTCTTCCAAGGACAGCACTGAGTCCAGTGTAGTTAGAACTGGATATGGACAACATCCTTGAATGGTACTGGTCCACGGCATTGTGTGAAACGGTTGATGCAGTTTAAAATAATAGTATATCCATGGGATTCTGGAAGGGGTTCAACCAAATCTATATGAGCGTGTTCGAAACGAGCGTTAGGGAGAAGGAAGGTGCCAAGTGGGCCTTTGGTGTGTCTTATTACTTTGCATTTTCGGCAAGCTAAGCACGTGTGTGCCCATTCCCTTACTTCCCTATTAATGTCAGGCCAACAAAACCGACTAGTTACGAGCTTGACGGTAGTTCGAATACCTGGGTGGGATAAGCCATGCAACGTATTAAAGATGTCACGGCGATAACTTTTAGGCACGGTGGAGCGAGGGCCACTCATTGAAATGTCACATAGAGTTGTGTCTCTTCCCCATACCTAAGGGTTTCTCAGCTAACTGTAGAGTTGTTTTCGACAACTCATTTTGAAGCTCGGTATCATCTTTTTGAAGACGAGCCCATTTTAGAAGATCTCTGCCGTTTATTTGGGCGATGTTTATGAATTAGAAATTGTCCACTCGTAAGTTTTTTTAAAAAATCACCCTTCATTGTACAAAGGCGAGTATGCACTGCTGCTCGTGTGAAACGAAACATTTTCCATAGCATGTCAGGATTTCCCCTGCACTTTTTTTTGTCGTGTCAGTTAAACTGTAGCAGGGTTAACTGGCTTGAAATTTTTGTTTTCAGAGTTGGTTTAAGGATTCTCATGATCAACCAGACCGTAGTCAGTCTGCGGCAATTTGGCGTCTTCGTATGAGATACTACACACACTTGCTTTGAAACTACTTTATGAGCTTATATTTCATGGCACACATTCGGCAGTCTGAAAGTCTATATTGTCGACCTTTAACGCCAATTACTGGCCACCTAGAAGAAATATAGTAGTAAATGCCAAATAAACAGCGTTATAAGTGACAGATGTGTTGAAAGACCAATTAGGTCTAGCTATCAGTAGGACTTTTCAAAGAAAGCAATATTGTGAGATACAGAATTTTTTTGTTCACTATTTGCCTTCTTTACACATACAGAGAGGCATTATTAATTGTGTTTAATTTTTTATTTAACATTTAAATATTGACAGTTGTCCTTGAGTCTGTTGTTTGACTTCACTGTTTCATACGTTACAGCTACATGCATGCCAGTGGCATGGCTGTCAGTGGAAGAGGTGGCAGTGGTGAGGAATACTGAGCAGTTAAGATGGTTTTGAGAAACCGGAGGATCTGGCTGTTGATGTAGTCGCGTCTTCCTGCTGAGGGGATAAAAACATGTATCGGTGATTCAAACGAACGTAAATACTTAGTTTCACTTCAACATGGTGCACGATATCATGTTCTTCTGGTTCTAGAGATCTGTATACAGGTGGGTTTCAGTTTCCCATTGTGATGATTCTGTAATGTTTATATTTCGTAAGACAGCCGTTCTGGGTGTTCTTACGTGTTCGTGTTTCATACATGTCATAGTTACTCTGACTAACCAGCTGCATGTTTCCGTCTTTCAGGATTGAGAATGTCTCGGTGGGCATACTGTAACAACGATTCTGCACGATAGGTAAGTAAGAATATGATGATATTTTTATGATGGTTAGTTTACTTGAACACGTTCGTTTTGAATGTTTTCTCGTGCTTGTGTACCACTATGTCATAGTTACTCTGATGGCTAATCAATCTTTCCTTTTTTTCCAGATGCCACTCATGTCGTGGTCACAGAATATAGGTAAGTTGTCACTGTGATTATATCGAGGAGCGGCTGAGGTCGTGTTAAATTTTGCACATTAGACCAATGAATGCCATGTTATGAGTGTCTAAAATGTTACTTTTCCAATTTTAGGTCTAAGTTGAAGCGAAATGAGGCTACAAATAAGTGAAAGGTATTCTGAAGACAACTTGTAATGGACCAGGATATTGTGTGACCCCATCACAACTATTCATTTTCATGACATTACAATAAAGCCTGCTATTACAATATTTTTTTTTGTGCTTGATTTCATGACAGCTTTTCTAAATCATTGTCTTGTGTGTAAATTGTCGTTGGTGCCTTACATGTCTTAATCCTGTGAAAGGTTTTGTTTTCGTAAATGTATAAGTTGTTCCAGCGCTAGTGTGCACCGTTTGGGTTAGGTTTGCTCACGGTTCTTCATGTTTACGAACGTGTCGGGACAGTTATTCGGAAAATGACGCGTCTGCGATGTCATTGTTTCTGTAGGCAAACTAGGTGACGGCATATGTATGGCTGTTGCTTCAAATATGCTTACAAGCGAGGGCCGTAGTGGTGCATTTATATATTGAGAAGCGCGGTTTATCCATAACTCGTTCGTTATCGAGTGTGTAGTGGATAAGAAATAGGCTATTTTAATAGATTCAACTAGGTAGTTCGCTTCAGTGATCCATCACCTTAACTTATGGTGATACGAGAAACTTATAGGTGGGTGATTCAGTCAGTTCAAGGGATGAAGAGTTAACTACAGGTAAGATCCGTGGACATACAAGCGGGGACATGTGTTTACCCCTAGCAGTGTGTGTTGCACAACTTCGACCCCAAAGGCCAAATTTTCGTCTAAGTACTTTACAAAGGTAGTCAATATCTCGCGTAGGGAATTTTCTATATGAATAGGCTATTTAACAGCTTAGTTACTTGATTCTTTCATCCGACTGAGTCATAACTAGATGCAATGCTTAACTCTAACGATCTATGTTTGCTAGTCTGCTCAACAAAGAGATTTAATAACAAACCCTGGATAAGTTTTTCCGTAATATAAGTGACTTCATAAGACGAATTTCAGTTTCTGATGCTGCAGAAGTCCTTGATGTATAGTCGACTGTTACATCGTAAAAGAATTCGCAACTGAAGACCTTTTCAAATATATTTGAAGTACTGTAGAACGGTTGATAATTGCAGTTTACGGTGTGTTTATTTGACCTCAGTCAGCAAAACATAGTTCGTTGGGTTCTTAACGCTTTGACCGCAATGGAAACATATCATTTGGTAAACTTTCTTGTCGTCAGCAACTGGTCCTTCGTCCCTTTTGATTTTAATTATTATGTCATTAAAATAAATCTATAGCACACATTGCTTTATATTCCTTGTAATTAAAATGTGTACACTACCTACTTATCTGAAAAATATGTGCATTGAAAGTCACAAGAAACCCTATGTATTACAAGCTTATTCAATAAGAAGTGCGCTTATGAGCTAATTTTTTAAACAAACAAAAGCACGGAGAGAATTACAACCATCCAGTAAGGTTCCATTATTCAGGAGCACAATAAAGCACTATTTCCGGACAGATTTAAGATAAACCTAACAGATGCTTTCTGTTAGACGGCTGGGAATAATCGACAGGGATTTCTAGGCCTAGTTGGTCCTTATGAAGGCACTCTTCAACCAAGTATTCCAAGTATTATGCTTTTCTTGTACTTTCTTCTCTTGCTTCGCGTGCTACACGGAATGTGGCGACTTGAACTTCCGCACATTTGTGCAAAGTTCTATGTCGAAAACAGACAGACAGAAGTATTCCAAACACTAATAGCGAATTAACCAAGTAGAGGAGAGGAAACAATATTATTTTAATGTTCCTTGATTCTGACCGTACTTTACCAGTCATTTGTGAGACAGTGATCCATTGTTGTTTTGAGTCACTTGAAGTCGATGTTGTGCGCTTGAGAGAATTCAGTAGAGAAGCTTTGAGGTTTCCCTTCATTATTGTCCAGTGTGTGTGAAAGCTGAACGTGCAAAATAAACACACTGCTAAAAAAATACTATTGTATTCAGTAGACAATTCAAGCATGAATTCATACAATGTTTATTACATGGATCAATGTCTCCAAATATACTCAGCCAAAGAGCTTCAGACACCAGTTGCGTTCTGTACTTAAAGTACTGATGAATAGGTAAGATTTCTCCCGATTATTGTTGTTTTTGGACACACAGGGCTTCAAACAATTCATTTTCCAACGAATGCATAGTTTCTCTTGACAAACATTCATTGCGTAAAATGGATTCAATCTTGTTATAGGTCAGTGTGGAAGCGATATCTTCTCCGGCAACAACCATCATTCCAGCAAGCTCAGCAACAGCTACATAAAATCCCGCTTCTGAAGCAACTACATTAGAAATATTTTTTGCACCATAAGCTGAGCATCGTGGCCACACTACAACACGCATATATCCAGTGGATTTAGAACGAGCCACAAATACGTTGTGAGCAATGTGTAATTTCTGGCACGACAAAATCAATGTCCACAAATTGCTGAAATATAAAAAGTACATTTCATAATCAAAGGATGTAATTAACAGAAAAACTAAAGGTAGTCGAATGAATTCACTACTAGTCCCACCTTTATCTACGTTTTATATATATATATATATATATATATATATATAATGAATAATGGAACCAGTAAGTCAACAGTACAGTGTTTTAGTCGACTAAACTAATTACTGTACAGAACGAACCGTGAATAGTCCTCAAAGAGGAAGAATAAGCAGCAGTTAATGTAGTTAGTGACAAAAGCTAGATATCATTGTGCTTAAGTAGGATTAGCTGAATAAAATATCGACAAAAAATAGCTTCTGCAAAATGTAACTTTGTAAATGAGTATTTAAGTAGACTGTTGGATGCCACGCTGACATTCAACATTTCTATGAATTGTAATTTTTTTATTATTTTTATTTTTGATTACAGCTTGATTCCACACCGTATTTTTGGTACAAGTGTGGAATTTTCAGCGTGGATATCGGTAGCCCAAAATTCGCAGGCCGACCATAGATATCAGGCGTGGGCTCGAACACCGGAGAGTCCTAACCACTGTGCCACCGACGCACTTGATGAATGGTTACTCGGTGCTTAAATGTGATATTAACCAATTTCTACATACACACCTTTCGACTTTCAAAAAGTGTTAAACATCCCTTTTAACGTTTTTCAGAACGACGTAAACTGATGAGGAGAAATTGACACAATTCTCTTAACAAAGGGACAATGTTAACTTTAAAGTTATGATTTCCATGAACTAGGGTGTTCATATGAGTGAAATTACGCACAAACGAAAATTTGCTTAATTTTGCTTGTTAAACAATCACTGTGTCATTCAAGCAAACTAAAATGCAGAAAAAATTAAGGGAAGTTCGCCTACATATACACTGTTCTACAAGTTTCTTATCAGGCTTTTCCCTATCTGACTTTCGCTAAATGCCAGTAGGCAAAATTTATTATGCTGAGCTAATCAAAAGGTATTAGCTAAGTTTGCAATACAGTTTCTAAGCTGACTTAGGGTGAGGCTGAAAGCAATTGCAAGGTTTTTTCTCCCTTGACTGACTGGGTTCAACATAGCACTTTGTACCGGTGTACAGCAGTTCAAGTCACCAAAATACACTAAGCACACAAAGCCAGAGAAGAAGAAGAAAGTAAAAAGCAACGCAAAATAGAGACAGTGAACAGAGATATCAGGCAAAAAGAATAGTGATTTCGATGAAAAATATAGTTTCATTGGAAATTATAAGTCACAAGGAGTGGATGCATCTGGGCCAGCCACAGAGCGATTTTGAGCCATAACAACAATTGTTTCCAGCTATTGGTTTTTACCGTTCCAAGGACCCCAAAGAGTCAGGGAGTTTACACCTTACTACGTGGCTAGCTTAAACTAACTGTTGTGGATTTCATCGACTGGTGCCATGTTTTGGTTTGACCGCCGCTAGCTCTTTTCCAACCAGACCCTATGTCATCTAACATTGACCGTCGAATAAGGCGATGACTAGGCATGCGTAACACATGTTCTAACCATCTCAATCGATGCAGCTGCTCCACAACCTCGTCGATTGATTTCCCCTCCTTACCTAGTAGTCGACGTCTAACCCTAACATTGCTCACCTTATTATACCATTTCACATAGGTGATAGAACGCAGGCACCTATGATCAAAGACAGCTAATCTTTTCATGTCTTCCACTCTCAATGGCCAGGTTCCACAGCTGGACATAAAGGAGGACGGAACGGACTGATGAGCAGTACACCCGCCCTTTGGTCGACAGCTAGAGATGTCAGGTAGAAATCATCCTTTAGTTCATCCGAACTGCAGTCTGTTGAGGCGTATGCGGAAACTATGAAAAGACAACGATGGATAACACCAGCCTTCCTTCTTCTTACAGACGCGTTCCCATGGACTACACACATACGGCTATCTACTGGGATCCAGTCAAGAAGTGATTTTTCTGCCTTAACACTCAATGCTATCCCTACACCTGCGAGTCCTCGCAAGCTAGCTGAGGGGTCTCCTGACACTCTTAAAGTGAGTTTTGCAGATTCACCTTGTTGGTCAGGAGAGGTTAAGTGATTGATCACACTCGGGTATTGTGTGTGTGCCTCAAACACAACATACATCCATGGGTCGAGATGCCAAAGTTCTTGATAGTGATGCCTGTTGTCCGATTTGGCAGAGGGTCCTGATGTTGAAAGCTCCTATATGAAGCTGACAACGTGGCTTTAAAAGGCTATCTGGGGTGTGTCTATTGCTCTCATGATTATTTGTGGTCACAGATTGGAGTGAAGATGACTCACTAGCCTGCAGAAGAGTACTAACTGTAGTAGAGAAGCAAGATGAGGAAGGTGACGTGGGTAGAGGAGAATGATGCTCAGGAAAGCTTCGTGTGCTTTTGGTAGTGTGTGGGGGTTGTTACTTCCCAGCTGCCCACACTGTGGAAGTTGCTTGATTGTTCGGGTACCTGAAACAAAGAGAGGGTTAGTTTTGCGTGACCACAGAGCCCAAGGGATAAGTGCTTGAGGCCGGTCGCATACGGCCTGTATAAACTGGTTTCTAGTATTGGTTCCGTATTAGTAAACTTGCAGCCGGTTACAGAGCACCGTAGGGTAAGTCGCAATGTACAATTTTCGGGGTCAACCTTTTCTAAGCCTCTCTCTTTCCAGAGTAGGGAGACAGCATAGCTGGAGTGCTGGTCATCTGAGGGAAACACCTTACTATTATTACATCCCAGTTCCCCAGCACCACGACTTCGTTCACAGACCCCCAGCATAGTTTAAAAACTTCTTGCACTATGCCGGTAACTGCTTTTAGTCTAATCACTGTTCTAATAACCTTCCTGGTATGCTAGGACCTGCAGGAACAATAGTTCCAGCCAGTGTAGGTCGTTGGTTCATTGCGATATGCAAGACCAACCACCACGTCAAGATAGCAGATATCGGCCGGGATTTTCGCCCTTAGTATAACAGACAGATCAACAGACATCCCAGCTGTGTAAAACACCAACAAAGCATCCTAAAAACATTCCAAGGTAAAAGTTGGAATGATAATAGTATTTCTTCAAACGCATAATGCAAAATCACATAAGAATGTGCACAATACTAGCTACCTAAGGGAATTCGAAGTGTAATTTACCGTCTGTGCTTTAACCTGTGAAGGAAGACAGAGATGAAATGGAGGTAAATTTGTTCTGAAAGTTACCTATATACTATTTGATTATATATATGACACAGACTATTTGTTTGTTGTTAAACCTCAGAATATAAACGGTAAGAATCAAAGACAACAGGAGCGATCAAATCATGGATACCGTTTTAATCCTGAAGTTACTCGACCAGTTGTAACCCATACCTGATATGACGTCCTACCATTTAACTCTCAACGTCTCACATAAAAACTACAACAAAACTGGTCTTCATAACTAAACTGCAAGTATAACAGACGAATTTCATTAAAAATTATAAATAAAAGAACACTATTCAATTTAATTTAGATTTTTCAGTCCACCGATTGGACTGAAGTACTCGGTCTCAGGGTTGACATGTCCGCTCCTAGTGCAGATGCTTTGACGGTGTCTGGTCATGTGACTTGAAGTCAACTGGTGGGTGGCGACTAGCAGTGGAATCCAGGATGCGCACTTCGTCCCATTTGGGACTCGTCATCTGAACAAACGGGAAAATCTATGTTGAACTGAATAATTAATTAGACCCGTTACACAAGAAGTGGCTCTCGTGGCACAGGTGGATAACGTTTTGGCGTTTGAAACTATGGGCACTGGGTTCGAGCATCGGTAGGAACACTATCACTCACTGGGGAGTGCGTGTATATCCATCTGGCGAGTCTCAAATAAGACGAAATGCGCATCCTGGATTTCACTGCTAGTCACCATCCACAAGTTGACTTCAAACGAACGCTGTTTGCTAAAATGTATACGGGAATGTTAAATTACGAACAGCAATCACTAATACTCGATCTAGGATAAAATCTTCTGAGAAGTAACTACACCGTAACCCATAAGCAAGAGATTGAGAAAATAAAAATATACATCCCTTAATTATGGTTAGGCATCTTTATTTGTTTATTTTTCTCAACTTAAGTTATTCAAGAACACCTAGACCATTCAATTTACCTCATATGACATGTATTCACGTGACGCTAGTTTACATTCTCTAACAGTTAAGAATACCAGTGAAACAGACGAATTACTTTTCTTTTGATAAATAAAATGTCATACTTCACGTGACATTAACCCAATGTGTATTATACATGATACCTACACAGCAAAATAACCAACTAATGCATATAGATTTTCTTGACACTGAATTTTGAAAAACAAGTATTTTCCGACCCACTTTTAGTTTGTTACAAATTTACTCTAAGGGCAAACTATTTGAACATACAAGGATGGAATAAATTAGTGAAAAAATTTACTGCTTAAATTTACTTATAATGGTGTCAGTTATCAGCAAATTGGAGACTATGACAAAAAAATAAGACTACTTTTTTGAATAATAACACATGTATATGACCCGTTGCACAAGAGGTAGCTCTTGTGGCCCAAGTGGTCTAGTGGACAGAGCTTTGGCTTTTGAAACTATGGGCACTGGGTTCGAGCCTCGGTGGGAACATCATCATTCACTGGGAAATGCAGGTACGTCCAGATGACGAGTCCAAATAGGACGAAAAGCGCATCCTGGATTCCACTGCTAGTCACCATCCACAAGTTAAAGTAACACATGTAGCTCAGAATGTGGGTATTAAGTAGTTAAACTGTCTAGAACAGAGCATTCAGTGACATTCCAACAGTCGTCTTCAGTAACAATTCAGAATTTAATTAAATTCGAAATCTTCCCATGTGTTTTTATTTTATTTTTGATTACAGCTTGATTCCACACGGTATTTTCGGTACAACTATGGAATTTTCAGCATAGATATCTATAGCCCAAATTTGGCAGGCCAACCATAGATATCAGGTGTGCGTTGGCGTGGGCTCG